AAATTACATACAAAATAACATCAAATCATATCATTAACTCATTGCACGACTAATACAAGTGTATAACTCAACAAATCTTATTGGATTGCATTCATTATTGGTGTGAAAGAGACAAATGAACCACAAATTCATTGTCCACATCGTTACAATGTTTTCAATCAATTAATTGTAAGTCAATTCAAGTAGAGTACAATTTTTAAATAGATTTTAATAAGGATATACCTATTTTATAATAAATTAGTATTTATTTAATATTATAAATTGGTGGTATCAATGAATATATTTGAGGTAAATAAAAAATGAATTTGAAATATACTTATAAGCAATGTCATTTAAGGTAATGGACACCTTTATTGAAAATTAAGTTCAAGAAAAAATAAACTATATTTACACGTAATGTATCTATAGTATTACCTTTAAATACCCACATAAGAGACAAATTGTGTTATAGAGAGTGTGGTCTAACGGTTAGGATGTCTGACATGCAATCAGAAGACCCCGGGTTCAAGTCCCGGGCGCGACCTTTTAATGCAATCTGTCTTTTCTATGATTTCTAATACTTTCCACCAATGTATTTGATATAATAACCAAGTTATTGAAAAAACATCTCAAATAATAATCTTTTTTATTAAATGATTTGAAGTTAAATGAATGTTTCACATTTTATATTATTTATATTTATATTTCAGTAACTCAAGGTAGAATTGATTTTGAATAGAATTGACAAAATCATTTTTAACCTTGGTTTCGCAAACAAAGGATATATATTTAAAATGATTTTTAATACTAACACAAATCTCTTAACTTTTTATGATAGGCGCTTATTGGGATAGTCGATATTAATCGAAACCTGTACAATTCAATCATATACTACGTGCTAAACGTTATAATATGTAANAGATGATTGACTTTATGGCAAAATTCAATTATTTCTTGACAACATTAAACCTAAAGTTTGTCAACATTAACAAACAAATGAAATATTGATTATTTTTTCCTAAAAATATTATTTTCAATTTAATGCAATATATACAATGTCATATTAAAATTGCACTATTTTACTTATTTAACATGTGAATTTACATTAAAAACATTAAGTATACAAAACATTAATAATATTCATTAAAAGATAATATTATTATTAAATTAATATCAATGTTAGATGCGCTTAAAGTTTTATTTATATTGACCGGAACAAGCACTTATCTTGGTATGTTTATCAGTTTTGCATTCATATAATTTATAATTAAATTCACTTGCGATATTAAATCTGTAGCATATACTGTACAATATGTGCAGCAGATTCACTTTTAATATAAAAATTATTTTAAAACTTTTATTGAAAATAAAAATATTATGATTAATATGTTATTATGATTTTATTAAATTTTATTAAACTTTTAAGAAATAAATGGTACAGTATTTCAGTGTATCTATTAATAAATGTACAGTATATTATATGTCTATCAAATAATCAAATGAATAGTCGATGAATAAAAATAGTTAACTATTCACAGAAAACTTTTCAAAAAGAAAGCCTCTATTAGTTTGAATGAGTGAACTCTGTTTTAATGTAAGATTTTTTATGAGTAAGTTAGTTAACTATTTTTAACTATATTTCTCTTAACTTTTTACGACAGGTGCTCATTGGAAAATTATCGATAGTAATTTACATATTATAACCTTTAGCACGTAGTATATGATTGAATTGTAAAGGTTTCGATTAATATCGACTATCCCAATAAGCGCCTATCATAAAAAGTTAAGAGATTTGTGTTAGTATTAAAAATCATTTTAAATATATATCCTTTGTTTGCGAAACCAAGGTTAAAAATGATTTTGTCAATTCTATTCAAAATCAATTCTACCTTGAGTTACTGAAATATAAATATAAATTATATAATATGTGAAACATTCATTTAACTTCAAATCATTTAATAAAAAAGATTATTTTTTGAGATGTTTTTTCAATAACATGGTTATTATATCAGATAAATTGGTGGAAAGTATTAGAAATGATTGAAAAGAGAGACTGCATTTGCGGGTCGTGCCCGGGACTTGAACCCGGGGTCTTCTGATTACATGTCAGGCATCCTAACCGTTAGACCACACGCTCTATAACACAATTTGTCTCTTATTTGGGTATTTAAAGGTAATACTATAGATACAACATTACGTGTAAATAGTTTATTTTTTCTTGAACTTAATTTTCAATAAAGGTGTCCATTACCTTAAATGACATTGCTAGTATATTTCAAATTCATTTTTTATTTACCTCAAATATATTCATTGATACCACCAATTTATAATATTAAATAAATATTAATTTATTATAAAATAGGTATATCCTTATTAAAATCTATTTAAATATTGTACTCTACTTGAATTCACTTACAATTAATTGATTGAAAACATTGTAACGATGTGGACAATGAATTTTGTGGTTCATTTGTCTCTTTCACACCAATAATGAATGCAATCCAATAAGATTTGTTGAGTTATACACTTGTATTAGTCGTGCAATGAGTTAATGATATGATTTGATGTTATTTTGTATGTAATTTGATGACAATTTGTGTGGCAGTTGCTTCACCAATTCATTTGATAATATGATGTTTCACATGATATGCTTTTCATAATAATCCATAATTAATGATGAATAATGAATAACAGTATAAAGGTTGAGTACAAACATCAGTATAAGTATTACCTTTAATTCCTCTCATTCATTGTACTTATAGTACAGTATATACACCAATATATTGCTTTCACTCATTATTATTGCATTGCAGTCACCAAATACGTGAAAGTAGGCATTGAATCCCCCGAACACCACAAACCAAAGGGCACCGACACTCACCATCAGCACCAGTCAACCAACACTCATGTCATCGATCCATCCGAACCATCAGTTCCATCGTTGCCAACACTGCTTCATAATGACGATCACATGAATGGCATGAATGTCACCAATAGGTTGTCTATCGCTAAATACAATGACAGCCTAAACGACGACAACAACCGCACTTTCAATGGCAGTCAACCCAATCAATGGCTTTATCGCAATCCGGGTCTACACTCAGTCAACAATAGGCATCCAAATGATTGTAAGTAGACTTCTGTCTGTCGTTCACTTCAATACGAGTAACGTATTGTAGATTCATATCATTTCATTTTTATTCACTTCTTCTCAATATAAGTCAGGTTTCCTTACAGTACCCACAAGTCTATCATATCTCCAAACACTGTAACATTATAATATAAACCTTCACTATTTACTGTATTATCAATTAAACATTTTATAAGTATTCAAATTATTACTTATTATTACCATATTTAAAGGAAGGCAACTTTAAATATGTGAGAGAGAGAGAGAGAGAGAGAGAGAGAGAGAGAAAGAGAGAAAGATTTTGGCTTGTTTGTTACGAAAGCTTACATGTTTTTATCGATATTATTCTTATATTGATTTAAGCCCTAAAATAATGTAAGGAACCATTTATGCTGACATTTAAATGATGCTTGGATATGAAAGCTAGCTTACCGAGTTAATGAAAAATATAATATTCTCTAATATAATACTAGTCCAGCATAACTGGTAGGAAACCATAATCTGATCCCTTTCCACTACCTATCCTAACCTATCTGACCAATAAACCAATGAATAGATACTTTATTACTGTATTTATAACCCGTCTCACGCGCTTACACTCTATTGTATATTGCACTGCACTGCTGGTAGACTTTGCACGTGAAACAATAAATTGAAATAATAAATAAATAAAAAGCCTTTAATCACTCGTCTCTCGCGCTCACAAACTATTGTTGCGACCGGACAACCGGACAACCGGACAACCGGACAAATTCAAATTAAGTAAATAACTAGTACAACATAACTGGTATCAAACCATAATCTGATCCCTTTCCCCTTCCTATCCCAACCTAACTGACCAATAATCCAATCACTAACTCAATACATTCAGTATTACTGTATTTATAACCCGTCGCACGCGCTTACACTCTATTGTATATTGCACTGCACTGTTGGTAGTGGTAGCGCGTGAAACAATTAATTCAAATAAAAAATAAATAAAATAAATAAAAAACCGTTAATCACTGGTCTCTCGCGCTTACAAAACTATTGTTATGCATCATAAGAAACACACAATTAATTTAATAGTATTAATAATAATCTCAATATTATTAAGAATATTCTTGCTCAGCACATGAACCCCATAAAATTTTTAACCATAATAATTTATAAAGCATTCATAAATAATCAAGTGTAATTCTTTCAGAATTTTGACTTTCATTAAAATATACTTAATTGTAAAATTCAATATAAATTAATAAACCGTTAATAGTTTACTTGAAGTCCCGTCCAAAATTGTATTCACAAGTTTTGTTGGACAGAATATTTCAATGCTAATGAAACAATTATCGTGTGTAATAAAAATTAGTATTTATTTTAATGAATATTTAAATATATGTTTATTTAAATATTTATATAATGGATTAGATTGAGGTTAGTTGGCTTACCAGACGCGATGCTCGTCACACAATTTGCCAGTGAAGGCATCTCTATAGAGTCCATAAACTTGATTGAACTTGATTGATTAGGCAAATAATTACACTCTTATTAAGAAGAGTAGAACAAAACAATTGAAAACAGTCTAAATAATTGATTGCATTCCCGACCTATGTATAGGGCCGGGATATGGCTAAACACTAATCATTATGGTGGGACCGGTGTTTAAATGGATGTCCATTGTTCTGACTTTGTCTTCTACAGTAGTACAGTATTAATAAATACTATTCTACACTATATTTTATACTATAAATGAAACAAATGCTTTCTATAAATTATTTCTATATAAATATTGATAATTAATAACACAATTTCAAAGATATATTATATCTTTGAAATTGTGTTATTAATTATCAATATTTATATAGAAATAATTTATAGAAAGCATTTGTTTCATTTATAGTATAAAATATAGTGTAGAATAGTATTTATTAATACTGTACTACTGTAGAGGACAAAGTCAGAACAATGGACATCCATTTAAACACCGGTCCCACCATAATGATTAGTGTTTAGCCATATCCCGGCCCTATACATAGGTCGGGAATGCAATAAATTATTTTGACTGTTTTCAATTGTTTTGTTCTACTATTCTTAATAATAGTGTAATTATTTGCCTAATCAAGTTCAATCAAGTTTATGGACTCTATAGAGATGCCTTCACTGGCAAATTCTGTGACGAGCATCGCGTCTGGTAAGCCAACTAACCTCAATCTAATCCATTATATAAATATTTAAATAAACATATATTTAAATATTCATTAAAATAAATACTAATTTTTATTACACACGATAATTATTTCATTAGCATTGAAATATTCTGTCCAATAAAACTTGTGAATACAATTTTGGACGGGACTTCAAGTAAACTATTAACGGTTTATTAATTTATATTGAATTTTACAATTAAGTATATTTTAATGAAAGTCAAAATTATGAAAGAATTACACTTGATTATTTATGAATGCTTTATAAATTATTATGGTTAAAAATTTTATGGGGTTCATGTGCTGAGCAAGAATATTCTTAAGAATAATATTGAGATTATTATTATTTATTTAATTTGAATTTGTCCGGTTGTCCGGTTGTCCGGTCGCAACAATAGTTTGTGAGCGCGAGAGACGAGTGATTAACGGTTTCAATCATTTAAATGTCAGCTTAAATGGTTCCTTACATTATTTTAGGGCTTAAATCAATATAAGAATAATATCGATAAAAACATGTAAGCTTTCGTATCAAACAAGCCAAAATCTTTCTCTCTCTCTCTCTCTCTCTCTCTCTCTCTCTCTCTCATATTTAAAGTTCCCTTCCTTTAAATATGGTAATAATAAGTAATAATTTGAATACTTATAAAATGTTTAATTGATAATACAGTAAATAGTGAAGGTTTATATTATAATGTAACAGTATTTGGAGATATCATAGACTTGTGGGTACTGTAAGGAAACCTGACTTATATTCAGAAGAAGTGACTAAAAATGAAATGAAATGATATGAATCTACAATACGTTACTCGTATTGAAGTGAACGACAGACAGAAGTCTACTTACAATCATTTGGATGCCTATTGTTGACTGAGTGTAGACCCGGATTGCGATAAAGCCATTG